TGTTCTTCTGCTGAATCCATCATTTTTAATCTGTTTCTTCGAAATCAAATTGTTTTGTTCTTACACAGTGGGACTGTGCTTATTACATATACTACGTGGCAAAAGGGGGAAAGCGAAACGACGACGCGTAAATTCAAAATTTTAGTGACGTCAGCGGCGTGGCGGCAAAAGAGAACAACTTTACAAAAAAAGCCCATTACACACACTCTTAAATGGGCCGGTTGGTCATTCTAAAAAGAAAAGGTGGGCCGGTTTTTTTTTTTTTTTTTTTTTAGCTAATAAAAAATAGGAGATAGTAACGAAACTGAAACGTTAAATATCATTTCAATTTTATTAATATCGTTTTGATTACTAACGTGATTCGACCAATTTATTAGTCTGATTTTGACACAATTAAAAATGTACAAACTGTAGTCCTTTGAGTTGACTTTTCTAATCTAATGTGAATTAATAAGATTTGATGTGTTTTCATAAAGTTATGCATTAATGAGTTATATTTTAAATTTTATAAACTTGTGAGCAATGTTCATTGATTCATGAATATCTTTTTAATCCGATATCCCATTTTGGCGATTCGAATTGGATTGAGAATATAACTCAAAGAACTATAATTTTTGTGTTTTGAGTTTTGCAAATTTCAAACTCGTAAATCGGCAAAATCACGTTTGAAGTTGAAATGAAATTATTAAAACTGAAATACCATTTATTGCTTCCTTTTTAAAACGAACCAACAAGTGAATTTAATCAAAAAAAAAAAGCATGTTCATTTGTGAATGAAATTACATTTGAGAGCCTTTGTGATAAAATTCACCCCAAGTTTAATTAAATAAATTTAAAGTATTTAAAATCATATTAATTAATGAAATTAAGTTTACATAATCAAGTAACTACAATGCTATAATCCAAATATAGTTTAAAAACAAGGGTAAATTACAACCACCCATGAGGTATGGTTAAATTATGAAAATCCCCTCTTCTTTAGGTAATTACAATCATCCATTAACTATAATTTTTTTTACACGCCTATCCTTACGGTTTCAAATTTAGTGGAATTTTCGAGATTATATGAAATATTATCACTTTTGTACCCGTTTTATCCCATTCAAATTCTACATTTTGAATCAAGATGATCATAATATGTAGTTTTTGGCTTGTATATATCAGATTCTGGTGCATCAGAAACTGTATTTTTACACAAAACGAGTACAAATTAGAGCACATTCCACAAAATCTAGATGATTATGTTGAATTTGACATCATAAGGGTTGAGATGTAAGAAAAAATTATAATTGATGGGTAGATGTAATTATACAAACAAAAAGGGTTTTTTCATAAATTGTCCATATCTAGTGGTGGTTGTAATTTACCCAAAATAATAACATAATTAAGGAACAACAATGAGCCGAGCATCGTAAAGTGAATATTCTAATTTATTTTTTCTTTTTCTTTTTTCTTTTGTCTGAAAAAAGATCCTATAATTTGGCTGGGGGTGGGAATGCTACATTATTTATAATTAGGGGACCAAAACGTAAATTTCAACAAAAAAATAAAATAAAATCCCCCCTCTTTTCCCTCTCTCCGCAACTCGGAAAAAGTCATGGGACCCGATTTTTCAAAGTCATCAAAATCATTGAAATCTCAGCCGTCCATCGTTTCCATCGAACGGTCGACAGTACTCTTGGCCTAGTAGTAGTAGCAGCAGTTAATAGTCACCCTCTTCTTTCGCGCCTCTCTCATAAACCCTAGAACCACCCCCGCAGCCGTCAATTTTTTTACCCAAATCACCATTAAAATTGAAAAGAAAAAAACAACCGATTTGAAATAATCGGAGGGATATTTATTTTTCTTGACGCAGAAAAAGGGGATTACTTTAATCGTTCTCGTGTCAGGTAAAAATATTTAATTTTTTCTTATTTATTTATTTATCGCGTTCCGTTCCGATGGGATTTTGTGCTTGAGAGGGGCAAAAGAATGGGGGTTTTGTGAGATGTTGTTTGGATCTATGTGATGGGTTCTTTCTAGGATTCCTGTACTACTTGTTTTCTCTCTCTCTCTTTTTTTTTTTTTTTTTTTTTTTTTTTTTTTTGTTGGTGTGGAAAAAAAATGAGTTGAAAAAAAAAATTATGGGTCTGTGGTGGGTCCGAGTCGACTGAGTTGCTACCGTTTCTTGTTTTTGGGAGGGGTGTGAAGAAGTTTGGTTTTGGTTGGATGCTTGGAAGTGACCGAGTTTTAAGGCTGATTTTGGCCGAGTTAAGGGGCCGAGTTGGAACTGGGTTGGTTGAACGAGTTTTGCTTCTGAGTATCAGAATCAGAGTGGATTAAGGGGGGGAATTAGCCAAGAAAGTTGCGCTTTTGTTCTGCCTTAGTGGTCTGCAGAGTTACTGTCTTGATTGAGTTCTCACTGGTTCTTGGAGCCTGAGTTGACTCGGATGCTGAGTTCGTCCTTCATTGTTTTGGACTGAACCCAAGTTGTGAAACAGTCAACTAGAAAATATTCCGGCAAAATCTAATCGGGACTAAATTTAGGTCTTTTCCAAGAACAAAAAAGTGAAGAGGAGAAATAATTCGGGGGCCTTGCCTCGCAAGAACAAACCGAAGCCCATGCCTTCAGTTGGAATGAGAAGGAACACGAGGGTGTTTGGCACACGAGTATTGCGTTCGGGGAGGAGGCTATGGACAGAACCCAGCAAAGGTAGTAATAATAAAAATGCAAGAGCATCTCATGCGGAAAATAAATGGACCGATATTCCCGATGGAGGAGGAGGAGGAGGTGGTGATGCCGCTTCCGATCGCCTTAACCACACACCGCGCGAAGACAAAAACAGCGCTTCGTCGGACATGATCGTAGACCCCACGATCGAGGAACGTGCGCCGGAAGGTGGTGGTGCGGTTGAGGTAAAAGATCGAGATAGGATGTGTGGGATTGTATATAGAAGAAAGAGAAAGAGGAAGTTGGTGGAGTTGGGAAAAACCGGCCTTACGGAAGATAAAAGGTACGGGAAGAAGTTTGTGAGGGAGCGGTGGAGAAAAAGATTCGGAGCTACAGAATCTTTTGAGAGTTGTGCCAAGTTTGGGGGTTCTGTTAGAGGGCGTCGAGAGCTTGTTGTTGTAGTTAACGAGTCTTCTAACTGGTGTGGTTATTGGGTTGCGTGCTTCTTGAGTTGTGTACTGAGCTACATGACTAAGGTTCGAATCGGAATGAGGCGGATGTCTGCATTTATGCTGTCGAAACCGATATTCGATGTTTATTCCTCGCATGGAGTTCTCTTTGTCCAGGTAAAATTTTAATATTGTTGATATTTATTGTAAATGTTTACTCGTTTTCTAAATTGATCGGACAACTGATTAGTGAGGCCGCTAGTTGCCGGCGAGAGTCGAAATTTTGTTTACTTGCTTTGTTCTTTACTGGTTATATTGTTGTAATTATATATATCGTTAAAATGTTTTTTTCCCCGGTTACAGGATGCTATTACTGCCAGGAACAATGGTATCAAAAAACCGGGTCTTTGCATAATTTCTGGATCTAGGTCTTTGGTGCCGATATTCTCTGTCGATTTTTCTGCAATCCCATCTGTGTTTGTGCATATGCAAACAAGTTTGTATCTTAGGTCCGAACACTTGGCTTTCTTGCTCGTGGCTCGTTCAACAGATGATGATTACGAGGAGGATGAAGAAGTGACAGCTATGGACGAAGAACCTTATTTATTTCCTTCTTGTGAACAAAATCAAGATTCTCTAGATTCTCCTATAAGAGATGTGTCTTGCAGTGACGTGTTAGCATTTGGTAATGATGACTCGAGGGGGAAGATCGAGTCTTCATCGCATTCGCCTCTAGGGTTACCTAAATCATCTGCTCTTCGCAGTTTGCAATTAAGAAACAGTCGTAACATCAAGAAAAGGAGAAGTTCGCTGCGGCGTAAGAGAGGCAGACCACCATCTTCCTTTCGAACCCAGAAATCTAGCGGAGCTTTAGCTTCCGATTTTTTCAGAATCAGAAACGATGCCGTCCAATTCTCCGCTTTGTCGCCTACTCGCTTACTTCGAAGTTCGGACAAGAAAAATTCAGACAAGAAAAAATCGGACAAGAATAGTTCAGACAAGAAGAGTTCGGACAAGAAGAGTTCAACATCGAACATCAAAGAGACGAAACCTGCGACACAGGACATATATCCGAGTACGTGTTCTGCTAACATATTAATAACCGAAACCGACAAGTGTTATCGAGAAGAAGGAGCCACTGTTGCTTTAGAACTATCCCCTTCGAAACAATGGTTTCTTGTTATCGGAAAGGATGGTACGAAGCGGTACAATCTGACAGCGGAGAAGGTCATGAGACCGTCTTGTTCGAACCGCTTCTCTCATGCTGTAATTTGGAGCGGCGATTGTAATTTTAAACTCGAGTTTTCGAACAAGCAAGACTGGTTCGTTTTCAAGGAGTTGTACAAGCAATGCTCCGAGCGAAACATGCAGTCACCTTCGGTTAGTGTGATCCCTGTGCCAGGTGTGCAAGAAGTGTCGATGCCTTTTTATAACAACTTTATGCCGTACGTACGGCCTGATAATTACATTACTGTGAAAGACGACGAGCTGATTAGGGCTTTGGTGAAGAAGGGTGCAAATTACGACATGGATTCTGACGACGAGGAGTGGCTGTCTGAATTTAATGACGAGTTGTGCGGTGGGATGGAATTGCAAGAACCTGTTTCGCCAGAGTGTTTTGAGTTGGTTATTGATGCTCTTGAGAAAGGTGTTCATTGTAATCCCGATGAGAATTTTGAGGAGCTCGCTGCTTACGATTTTTGTATGCATTTGGAGAGGAGAGAGGTTATTGAGGCGATTCGTAATTATTGGGTTAAGAAGCGGAAACAGAAGCGGTCGGCTTTAGTAAGGATTTTCCAGGTAAATAAGTTTTCTTCCGCGTAGGTTATCTTGATTAATTGACCGGTTTGACCAACTGGTTCGGTTTTTAAAACGCTGGATTAGTATGTTGCTTTGTTCGTGATAATAATATCCAATTAAATAAGAGGAATTGTTATATCTAAATTAGCTGGTTATTTAAGGCATGTTCTTGCACGCGTGTTAGCCGTGTGATTTTATATTTACTGTTCGGAAGTGATGATAGAATGCGCTTTTTCTCTGTGCTACTACTCGATTGTTTCCCGGATTTAAATTATATAAAAAAATGAATTCTTTCTTAATGGCAGCTTTACCAGCCTCGAAGAATTCAAGTGATACCAAAGTCTGTTTTTCGAAAGAAAAGATCGTTCAAACGTCAAGCAAGTCAGGGTGGGAGAGGCAAACAGCGACCTATCTTGCAAGGTAAATTTTCCTTTTGACCTAATTTTGAGTCGAATCTTCTGAAAAAAAGCTCCGAGAGTCGGCCTCTTGCACATTCTAGTCATACCAATTTCCACTAATTTTTAGGGTAAATTGCACTTAACCCCCCTGTGGTTTGAGCTTTGTGCACATGACCCCCTGTAGTTAGAAATTTGTGCACATGACATCCTTGTACTTTTAAAATAAGCACATAACCCCCTGTAGTTAGAATTTTGTGCACATGACGTCCTTGTACTTTTAAAATAAGCACATAACCCCCGATGGTATTCCACTTGGTAACTAATCATGTTCATTCGGAAGATGAAATTTTTCAAAGTACAAGGGGTTATGTGCTTATATTAAAATAGAAGGGGTCATGTGCACAAAGTTCAAACCACAGGGGTGTAAGTGCTATTTACCCAATTAACAAAAAGGGTAAATTAATGGAAATTTATGTGTAGCTACAGCTATACCCAATTGGAATTTATTGGAATTTCCACTTTTACCCTTGATTAAATAGTGGCTATTTACATACAAAAGCCCTTGTATGTATTTTTTAAATCGTGAATTATGTTCTTACAGCAATAGCAGCCGAACGAGATGCTTTGGAACAACAAAACAACGCACAAAAATTACAAGAAGCAAAAGCTGCTGCAGAAAGATTCGAAGCATTGGCAGTTGAAAAACGACAAAGAGCACAAATGCTAATGGAGAATGCCGACTTAGCTACTTATAAAGCAATATTGGCTCTTAGAATTGCAGAAGCAGCTCAACTTTCCGAGGGTTCAGAAACAGTTGCTTCGTTTTTTGCCGGTTAACTCGAATCGTGTAATAGTTTGTAAAAAAAAAAAAAATCAAAATCATTTTCAAGATGGCCAAATTTTTCCGAGCTACAAAAGGAGGATTTACTGCCTCGGTTTTTTTTTTTTTTTGAATCGACAACTTGGTAAGTTGACCTGGCGATTTTTGTACAGATTCTAATTTATGTATATTTGTATTATTAGAAAAACTCGAAACGTGGATATGTACTAGGGGATTCGATTAGTTTATTCGGGAAGAGATGAAAAAAAATATAGGAGGAAAAAATTGATTATGTATGGCCGGTTTCTTTTGATTACGATGGCGTTGGCTGTTTTTGTACTATAGTTTTGTGTATAGTTTGCATGTTTGTTATTTAGTACTTTAGTTCATAGGTTTTTTTGCATTATTTGCAGCTATTGTTTTTGTTTTTGAAATGTAATATGGATGTGTGATCTTGTAACAAATTCGGAAACGTATTTTTGTTTGAACTATGAAACTCGATTATTAGAGCTCGATTCGTGATTGGCTTGATTAAAGTTTGTTTGAGTACTTCTTGATTAGTTATTTAACCAAACTCAAACACAACTTTGAAAAATCGATTAAAAAAAACAAACAAACTCGAACAACTATGAGTTCTGCTCGACTTGATTCATTTACACCCTTATTCTCGAAAGGAAACCGAACCCTAGTTTCACAACTTCGATGATAATGTGTTATTTTTGAGTTATTATTAGTTAAGTTATAGTTAAGTTAAGATATACTATTTTGTGACGAACAACTAAATATATTTGCAATCATGCCCGTTCCTAAGATTTTCAGGGCCCAAGACGAACCTTATAAATGATTTTAAAACAGGCGCCCTTAAAATAAATGTTTTTTTAAATTGTTAGAAAATGTGACATTAAATCAAATCTAAATAAAATAAAAATAATAAAAAGTAAAAAAAAAAAAAATTAAAACACCAAACCTAGTAATAAATAGGGTAAATTACGATCACTCCCGAGGGATGGTCAAATTACGAATAAACCCCTCTTGTGTGGGTAATTGTAGCTACCCCTCCTTTTAAATATTTTTACATAAAATTTATGTAATTCGGTTGGAGTATCGAAATTTTGGTTTGGTTTACCGATTTAACATCCATGAATTTACCTCTGGAGGGGTTTTTTCGTAAGATAATACATAATTGATGGAGGTGGCTGTAATTACCCAAACAGAAGGGGAATTTTCATAATTAACCATAACTCAGGGTGGCCGTAATTTGCACTAATAAATAACATTTTCCTCCCAAACAAATTTGCCGCTCTCTTCTCCCCAACCCATTCTTCTTTTCCCTCTTCTGTATATTCTCTCTCTCTCTCTCTCTCTCTCTCTCTCTCTCTCTCTCTCTCTTTCTCCCTCTCTTCTTTTTTTGCCATTTTTGGTTCTCTCTCCCACAGCTGAAGGCTCCTTTATGCTCTGTTGGTGTTTCTTCTTCCCTCTTCAATGGTAATCTTATTTTATCTAATTCACAGATCAAATTCAGCCATATGAACACTTCAAATGCACTGAACCGATGGAATAGAACCATTGCGTTCACAAAGAGATTCTACCGTACAAATAGGTAATGCCATCTCTCTCTCTCTCTATACTTTCAACAGTTTCTTCAATTAAGACAAACTGTAAACCTTATTATGAAAAAAATTCAGCATCTATGGCTCAAATTTGGTGGATTCCCGTTCCGTTAAAACGGGATTCGACGTAGAGACTAGTCGCTACAATTTCCAGTTGAAGAATTTTCTCAGACATAGCCAATTCTCCGAGGCACGCAAACTGTTCGACGAAATGCCTCGGAAAAATACGTGCTCTGTGAACATGATGATTTCCTGCTACCTCAAGTCGGACAATCTTTCTCATGCTAGGGAGCTGTTTGATAATATGGGTGACAGAACAGCGGTATCTTGGACGATACTGATTGGTGGTTACGCGAAGAGCAATCAACCTATCGAAGCTTTTAATCTTTATGTTGATATGTTTAGGACAGGGGTGAAACCAGACGAAATCACTATTGCAACTCTTTTATCTAGCTGTGACGAAAAAATTACCCGAAAAGACGTATGTCAAGTCCACGCGCATATCACCAGATTAGGATTTGGCTCTGACCTTACAGTGTGTAACAGCTTAGTCGATTCTTACTGCAAATCTCAGAGTCTTGATCTAGCAGTTCGGCTCTTTGAAGAAATGATCACGAGAGATACGATTACTTTCAACACATTGATAACGGGGTTTGCTAAAGAAGGGCTGAATGAACCGGCAATAAAGCTCTTTTCAGAAATGCAGTATCACGGTTTTAGGCCTTCGGATTTCACCTTTGCTGCGATTCTGCGTGCTTGTGTCGGTTTGGATGGTACTACCCTCGGGCAACAGGTCCACGGACTGGTTGTCAAGAGTAACTTTGTGCACGATGTATTTATCGGAAATGCGCTTCTTGATTTTTACTCCAAGCATGATTATATTGAAGACATGCGAAAATTCTTTGATGAAATGCCGGAGTTGGATGGTGTTTCTTACAATATTGTCATAACAAGTTACGCATGGAACGGACAACTCAAAGAATCCCTCAATCTCTTCAGAGAGTTGCGGTTAAGCAAGTTTAGTAGAAGAAACTTTCCTTTTGCGACTATGCTGAGTACAGCGGCAAACACACAACATATAGAGATGGGAAGGCAAATCCACACGCAGGCAATCATGACAACAGCTGATACAGAAATTCAAGTGGGGAATTCCCTCGTAGACATGTACGCGAAATGTGGCAGGTTTGACGAAGCAAATGTTATATTCAAAAATTTGGCCGGCAGAACCTCTGTTCCTTGGACTGCCCTGATATCGGGATATGTTCAACAAGGCCTAAACAATGAAGCCCTTAAGCTGTTTAACGAAATGCGTAGAAACAATGTTTGTGGCGACCAAGCAACTTTTGCGAGTACTTTGAGAGCCTCAGCAAACTTGGCTTTGCTTTCACTAGGGAAGCAATTCCACTCGTGCATAATCGGTAGCGGATTCCTATCAAATATTTTCTGCGGTAGTGCACTCTTGGACATGTACGCTAAATGCGGATCGTTAAAAGACGCAATATCAATTTTCAGACACATGCCTGAGAGGAACTCAATCTCATGGAATGCAATGATTTCGGCATACGCTCAAAACGGAGACGTCAAAGCCACTTTACGGTCCTTTGAGCAGATGGTACAATCGGGCCTTCAACCCGATCCAGTTAGCTTCCTTGGTGTTCTAACTGCATGTAGCCACTGCGGGCATGTCGACGAAGCACTGCAGTATTTCAACACCATGACTCAGACATACAAACTCGCTCCAAGGAAAGAACACTACGCGTCTTTAGTAGACGTGCTCTGCAGAAGGGGCCGATTTAACGAAGCAGAGTCTTTGATGGCTCGAATGCCAGTCAAGCCAGACGAAATCATGTGGTCTTCGATTTTAAATTCGTGTAGAATCCACAAGAATCAAGAATTCGCTAAGAAAGCCGCTGACGAACTATTTAGCCTCGATGTGCTTAGAGATGCCGCTGCTTATGTCACCATGTCTAATATTTACGCAGAGGCAGGGGAATGGGAACATATGGCAAATGTGAAGAAAGCCATGCGAGATAGAGGGGTTCGAAAAGTGCGTGCTTATAGCTGGGTTGAAATCGCACGCAAAGTTCATATCTTTTCAGCCAATGATAGGAGCCACCCACTAAACGAGGAGATAAGAATAAAGATAAACGATTTGTCCGAACAGATGGAAGAGAAAGGGTACAAGCCGGACTTGAGTTGTGTTCTTCAAAATGTCGACGATGTAATGAAAGCAGAATCGCTTAAGTATCATAGTGAAAGGCTGGCAATTGCATTTGCTTTGATCAGTACTCCAGAGGGTTCGCCTGTACTGGTAATCAAAAACTTGAGGGCTTGCGTGGATTGCCATGCTGCAATTAAGGTGATTTCGGAGATTGTTCGGAGGGAAATTACTGTCAGAGATTCTAGTAGGTTCCACCATTTTAAAGATGGGGTTTGTTCGTGTGGGGATTATTGGTGACATTTCGATTATATACGGACATCTTCGATATGGCTTGCTGTCTGCATCTTTTGCCCCCATTGATTACGCTTCGAGGTTTTTTTAATTTTTTTTTTCTTGCATCGTTTTTAGTACATATACATAAGACCCGATGCGCTCGTTATTCCCTCTCCAATTTTCTTTTTCCTTTTTACTTTCCCCCTTTGCTAGTAAACGACACCACCTCAATGAGTTCTTCCAATCAAATGTCGCCAATAATTTCTTTTCCATTTATTTTGAGGCTGCTCGAAACTTTTCGGCCAATCTGGCGCCCTTTCGTTTCTCTTTGTTCATTTTTTTTTTCTTCGACCGGTATTGTACCATCGTCCGGCGTTATAATGTTATTCAGCGATTTCTTTCGCTAACCAGGAATAATTATTTCGATTCAAGTTTTGATTGATGGGTTCCATTTACAATCTCTGGCAGCAACACAATCAGATTTTGTAGGATTGTCACGCTCGATACGCAAATAGGTCCCGAAATTTAGATAGACGCATTTTCTGGTCTTTGAACAAAAGCAACACACTTGTTTCTTTTCATCTGAAGTTTCTATTGTTCATGAATTTTATGCAATCCTTTTCTTTTTCTGAAGTTTCTGTTCTATCATGCTGCAGGTGTAATCGTGAGAACACGTGACGATTAGCAAATGACGGAGGCTATCCTAATTTCGATTCAGAAAAATTCGAAAGAAATTGTGTATCAAGATTTTCGAAATTTGGAATAAAAAATATTGTTCCAAATTCGAATTTTTTTGGACTAGAACCATCCAAAAAACAAAATGAAATCTTCGTATGGTTTTAATTACAAGAAAGCCATGTTGCAATAATGTAATAATACTGTCCAAAAATAATAAAAAAGTATAAATAAATAAGTAAATAAAATTATTTTGATGTGGACCAAAAAAAGTGCATATGCATTATTCACTGGACGAGATTTATGAACCATTCCTTTTCTTGATCTCTCGTTAAACCTCTACCCTACATTATTTGCTGCCAAGTCCAAAAGTTTTCACTATTCACCGATAAGGACAAATTGCAAAGCTAGTGGCTCTTACACATCCCTAACCACATGTGTATCTATCTATCTATAGATGACAGAGAATCAAGATTGTTACTTGAGGACAAATTATTAAAATAAATTTATTATAATAGGACATAAAAATCGAACGAGAACTTGTCGATCTGATCCGATCCGACGGACCATGCTCTCGTGATCGTTGGATTGTGAACCAATCATATAAAAGAAAAACATATAATATATAATTGATTTACAAACTAGTATCTCTCCATCCCATTGCCAAAAACATCAATACAAGAAAAAATTAAGAGCAATTTGGCTTATTTATGCAACCACTTGAATAGTGAGTTTCTAAATAACTAACCTAATTTGACTTCCTTATAATAAGTATCGAGAATTTCGGAACGTAAATCACACACGGGTCGGGTCGATTAGGGGTGATACTCCGGCGTGGGAGTATCCCCCGGTTCGATCCGGCTCATCTTGAATTGTGGCAAATTGGAATTATTGTTGTTATAATCATCGCCTTCGTCGTGGTAAATATACGCCATCCCTCCATGCCTAGTCATGTCCATTCCCGCCGTTTCATCCTCGTTCGAAACCCTAAGCAATTTCAATTTTCGTAAAGCCAAGAATAGCGGTGCCATTGTAGCCGTAACCCACCCAATAATCACCAAAACTTCCACAATTTGTGCGGCCAATAGCCTCCCACCACCGCCCATGAACAACCCGTACGGCCTATCGGGCCGACCCGGATAAACCTCGTTCACGTAATCTTTCGTTGCAAATAATCCGGTGAACAAAACCCCCCATGCACCGCACCCGCCGTGCAATTGTGCCGCCTCCAACGGGTCATCGTACTTCAATCTCTCCGCCAGCTTATTGAGCCCGATAAGCACCCACGCCGCCACTAAACCGCACACGATCGCCGCCCACGGCTCCACCACCGCGCAGCCGGAGGTGATGGCGGCAAACCCGCCCAACAACCCGTTGCACACGTCAATCACGTTCCAGTGGCCCACGAGGACCCTTTTACTGAAAAGGGTCGTCAGGGCCGCGGTGCTACCGGCCAGTGTAGTCGTGACAGCTGTCCGCCCGATCGCACTCCACTGGCCGTAGTAGGCCCCACTGCCAGTGCCGTACGACTTAACTATGGTTAGAAACGAACCGGGGTTGAACCCGTACCAACCGAACCACAGTAAGAAAGTGCCGAGCACCACCAGCGAGGCACTGTGGCCTCGCAGCGCGACGGATCGACCAGAATGGTCGAACCGGCCGATTCGAGGACCCTCGATTAGGGCACCCCATAGACCGGCAATGCCGCCCACCATGTGGACCACACCTGAACCGGCGAAATCAATCACACCCGAGTTGAAGAGAAGTTTGCCACTCGACTTGGCTGCACCGGCCCAACCGTCTCCGGCCCAAAACCAATGAGAGACAACCGGGTACACAAAACCGGTTAGGAAAGAGGAGTAGATTAAATATGCCACAAATTGTGTCCTTTCTGCGATGGACCCACTTGTTATACCTGATCGGGAATTGTGCAGAATATGGAAATTAGTTAAAAAAAATACATGATTAAAAATAATAATTTATTTAAATCAGTTTTTTCATTCCTTTTCTTTATGTTTATTATTCTAATAAACATTAATATTTTTCAATTATAATTCCCCCAATACTAATACTAATACAGAATATTCAATTATAAAAATACATATTATACATAACAAAAAAGAACATATTATAAAAAATACTATAATAATCTTAATAAAAATACATATTTTTCAACTATAATTCCCCCATACTTATTAAAATTACATGATTAATAAATTTACTAATATTTTTCAAGTATAATACTTAGTAGTGGATTAGAATTAAATCTACAGTTCAAATTCATCAAATATAAATAATCAAGACGTAGCATCTAACTTCCCGCACGCAGCCGACGAAAATTAAAAATTTCTCACTTCATTTAATGTTGTCCTTAATTACTTCATTAATTACTACTTACTTTTTATAATTTCCTATTGTCCAAAATATAATTTTTTTTAATGAAAATATAGCAATAAAAGATGTAATGAATTTTTGTACTACGTAAAATCGGGATAATTATATTTTTGGTCCCTCATGTTTGGCCCGATTTCACTTTTGGTCCCCCTTGTTCCAAAGTGAACAAAGTTCACCTCCAAGTTTCAATTTTAAACACTTTTGATCCCCGCCGTTACATATCCGTTAGCAAGTAACGGAAAACACTATTTTGGGGTGAAAATTGAAATTTTAAAATCTTTTGGGGCTGAAATAATTATAAATTTAAAATAGACTACTTAATTATAATTAAACTATTTAATTTTAAAAGCCAGCAATCTATCATAAATTCTGCACACTTTTTCACTATAAATTATAAAAGAGGAAATATTACATTAATATTATATTAAATTAAATATATATAGATAGTGATAATTAGATAATTAATATATATACCTGCTGCAGCAATGGCGAAAGCCCACTGGTAAAGAAAAAAGCTATAATCCGCCGTCGGCGAAGGGAATTCCCTGAGGCCGAAGAAGTGTTTTCCGATGAACCCATTTGATGGGCCGCCGAAGGCGAAGGCGTAGCCGAAGAGGTAGTAGCTCAGCCCGCCGGCGGCGGCGTCGAGGACGTTCGTCAGCATGATGTTCATGGTGTTCTTGGCCCGTACGGAGCCGGCGCAGAGCATCGCGAAGCCGAGCTGCATCGCGAACACCAGGTACGCCGAGAACAGGAGGTACGTGCTGTTGATTGCGTACGTCGAGTCGGAGAGCTTCTCCGACGCGGCGGCGAAGCGGCTGCATATGAAGGCTGCCGCGGCGGTGGCGTTGGCGTTGGCAGCGCCGCCGCCGAGGAGGGGGAGGAGGTCTGCGGCGGCGCAGCTCAGGGGGTCAGCCATTATTATTTTTTTTGTTGGGGGTGGTGTGTGAGAAGAAAAAAATTACTGGGATAGGATTTTATAGACTTGTGGTGGCTATTGTGCGCCACACACACACAACACACTATACTGTGTGTTTCTTTTTCTTTTTTCTTTTTAATTAATTTTCTTTTTGATTTTCTCTCTTTTTTTTTTTTTTTTTTTTTTTTTTTTTTTTTTTTTTTTTTTTTTTTTTTTACTTTCTATATCAATTATGTGAATTTTTGACATATTAGAGAAATTTAATGTAAGGTTATTGTCAAACTTTATTTATGTATTTATTTATTATTATTATTATTATTATTATTATTATTATTATTATTCGATAATCTGCACACAATCACACACACCCATTTGTGTGTATGCTTAGTGAAAACTTATTTCACCACATCAACAATTAATAAGTAGCCGATGTAGCATCTCAAAAACCTAACCTGGTCAAGGTTCTATACGTTCCAAATGATTGTATGGAACGAAAATTGGAATTCACTTGAACTCGAATATTCCATGTAAAATAAAATAAAAGAAGAATCTGAATTTTTCATAGGAGCTAGGAATTTAGGAAGCTAAACAACAATTAAAAATTCAAGAACTCAATAATGGAAGATTCTTGATGGACTTTTGAGACAAGAAAGATTCATGAATATGATGGAACCCTATTTCATATGTGACATCAATTAATTTAGAATAATAAAAATGAGTGAACAAGAAATATCCAACCATATATTATCTTCTTCTATATTAGTAAAATAATTAGTAGGTAAACAACTAATTATAAAAACTTAAATTATTATATTGTATATAAATAGGGTCTTTCTAGGGTGAGACCACTTGTGTTCTAAACTTATATGAGATATGTATTAATTACCATTAATTTTCTAAGATTAAATCTGGACCCTAGGAAAATAACATAGCTTATGTTCTAAAAAATGAAGTACTTTACCAAATTATCCTTCGATTATTTCTTTTATTAAATTAATATAAAATTGATTAACATTGCATTGTCTAATTTACCCTTACTATATTTTAATTAAATAACTAATTTAAATTAATTGTGACCGAGTTTTATTTGATAAATAATCGAAAAAAATGCATTCATTAGGAATAAAACTTGTGACATCTTAATGCATTCATCACATCCAATGATCCAAGCACATTAACTTATTATGATATATTTAACCATAATTGTATAAATACTGTTAATTAAAATATCAATTGCAATATTCATTATTATTAAATAATATTAAATAAATTATTAACAAATTTAATATAATAAAGTTTGAAAAATATAAAGAATTGCAGTTCAATACGCCAAACATCTATCATTAATTATATAATATTAGAATTATTAATAAACTCCACCATTTAAAAATGTAAAGAATGCACAATTAAATATAAAAAAAATGCATTACTTAATTCAAACTCACTTATGTTATTAAATCGATAGTGTGAAAAATCCAAATAAAAAATAAAATAATATGTTTATTTAGAAGAAGAAAAAATTATAACTCATTCCAATTAGTAGTTTTCTTACTTTAAAATAAAATTATATACTACAAATACTATATTGTGAATTTTCTTTTAATATTTAATTTAATCAAATAGTAAGATTTGAATCGATTAAGTTCAAATCCTTTTAATTAGTAAACATTATTCAAATATTTGAATCGGTTTCTTAACTATTGACATAACGTGTTACATAATTGATTTAACTATTTATAAGTAATATCTAATATATTTTTAATTCAATTTTGTCATGAAAAATAATAAATTTAATTCCTAACACATGTAAGAACCTAATCGTAAATCGTAATATTTTATCAAAGCGTAATATTTGAACCAATTAAGCTCAAGTCCTTTCAATTCGTAAACATTATTCAAATATTTGAATCGATTAATTAGCACGCTCAATTATTGACAAGAACGTCTTAATCAAATTAACTATTATTAATTAAAGTGTAATACACTTTTAACTCAATTTTATCATAAAAAAATAATTCCTAAATTACGTAAGAATCAAATCATAAGATTAATTAAAGCGTATGATTTGAATCAATTAAGCGCAAATCCTTTTAATTTGTAAATATTATTCAAAAATTTGAATCGATTAAGTTCAACCACTGACAAGAACGTATTAATCGAGTTAACTATTTATAATTAAAGTCTACTATCCTTTTAATTCAATTTTAACAAAAAAATAATAATTTAATTCGTTCGTAAGAATCAAATCGTAAATCGTAAGATTTAATCAAACCATGAACCGAATAAATCTTACGATTTTTACGAATTAAATTTTATTATTTTTTATGATAAAATTCAATAAAAAAAGATACTAAACTTTAACTATACATAGTTTGATTAATACGCTATTGTAAATTATTGAGTTTAACCGATTCAAATATTTGAATATTGTCTACTAATTGAAATGGGTTGAGCTTAATCGACCAAATCTTTGAATATTGTTTTTGAATTGAAAACACATGAGTTTAATTGATTCAAATATTACGATTTAATTAAATCTTACAATTTACGATTCAATTCAAACTTCAAATTCTTTCGAAATTCATTTTTAAATTACACGAGTTCATCAGCATTTCCTTAGATTTTTAAATTATATTATATAAAGATTTGTTAGTATGGGATATTTTTAATATATAATAATAATAATTATATGAGAATTAATAATTTATTTAACATTATATATATAAGTTTTATAACCATTATAAATTGTAGCTTTGTGATATATATATCCGTATTGTTAGTTTATTGTCAATCATGTTTTGTGTCTTAATGGTAAGTATTCTTGTATGTTTTTATATGGTCACAAGTTCGAATTCAGGTTGATGCAATTTTGGATGGGTGGTTTAATGATTGTTATGAATAACTAGTAACCGAACCCGTGCGTTGCACGGGGTTACATATTTCAATTTAATCATACCACCATAGCACAGTTATTAAATCAGAGTATTAAACTACAAATTGTCATAAATAGAATGCACATTTGCTTCTTTTTACACTTAAAAATATCTGATTAAAAAAGGTAAAAACAAATTAACCGTTCAGAAAATGTCTGCACTTCACTGGTACCGAAGACATTAACTGCAGGTTAACAATTCCCAATAGCAACATATATGAATACAAATAATAATAAAAATATTGAACGGAAAAATACGAACAAATAAAAAAAAAACAATTACCTTTGATATTGTGTGACAATTCGAATTGAGAGTCAATATATTCATTTTAATGATATTGCATCTTCACACTCTGCAAAATAATAAGAACGCATTATATATAGTTGAATATAAGGCTTACGCAAGAAGAAATGTGAAAAACTGTAAAACAAAATTACCTTAAATTTTGAAATACTTCTTTATAAACAACGTTTGTTGTATTTTTTGAAGTATTTCATTCTTTGTCACCTATAAGTATCTTCAAACCTTTTCGACTGGTAACCCTCGAAATAGCTACGTACAGTTATCCGTGGGAAAAAATAGGTTTTTCAAGATATAGACCAACATTTTGAAGGGATTGACCTTGGCTTTTATTTATTGTCATAGCGAAGGAAAGAACGATGGGAAACTGCCTCCTCTGAAAGTGAAATGGAATTCTACTGTCTGACGGTGTTAACGACAATCTTGGAATGAAGACCTTTTGTCCGACATTAGAGCCTGATATTATTTTTGCTTACAGAACGCGATTTCCCAACCGAGTAATGGTCAATCCTGTACCATTACACAACCCATTGGATTGGTCTATATTCCTCAACAACATAACAGGAACACCTTTCTTCAACTTTAATTCATGGTTTGGCTGACCTGAAGATGTAATCGTATTCAAAAACTCTGGAGTATGAATGTCATGATATGAGTCGACACTTTCATTCGCCGTACATGGACTATCGAAACTAAGATAGACTTTTTCATCTTCCGGAACCAAAGACAACATGTAATCGTTAACCTTGTCAACGATTTCATTTGTGGGTGCCAATATAGCTCGTTGTTGTAAGTATTCAGAATCCATTATATTAGCGAGCAAATTTGGGTAAGTTTCTTCAACAATAGCAGCTAAATGGTTACCTAATGGTTTTATGAGCAAATCATCAGGTATTTCAATGTCCATAACTCCATCATTGTCGTCACCATTAGTACCATTGCCTATACTTAACACCCAATCTGAGAAATTCTTCAATTCCTCGTAATTAGAACTTGTTGAAGAAAGCCTCATATTTTTTTGTTAATGTTAACACTTCACAATGCCGCCACAAATATGAGGAATTTATGCTCGCCGACATAACTTGTTGTCTTGTTCCCTTTGGCACAACAGGCAAAATTTGTCTGAAATCACCTCCACAAACAACTAGTTTGCCACCAAAAGGTTTATTCTCATTTTCAGGATCAGACTGGCTTAGGATATCCTTTAAGATTGATGTACGGCCTCAAAACAATGCTTGTGAATCATCGGAGTTTCATCCCAAATGATGAGTTTTGCTTTCATTATCAACTCCGCCAAAGGGGACTCACATGCAATGTTGCAAGTAGATTCTTCACGAACCTTAAAAGGAATTGCAAACCTCGAGTGTGCTGTTCTTCGACCAGGGATGAGTAAAGATGCTATTCCACTTGAAGCGACTGTCAGTACTATTTCACCATTTGACCTTAAAGCAGCCGAAAGCGTTCTCCAAATATATGTCTTGCCAGTACCTCCGTAACCATAAACGAAAAATAAACCACCACAATTCTCATTTACTCGTGCAATTATTTTGTCATAGATAACCCTTTGTTCGTCATTGAGACTTGACAATAACTCCAAATGTTCCGCAACCAATGCACTTCTGTCATAATTGAGTTCATCATAGATAAGTCTATTTTGAATTTGTGGGAGAATCGACATGTTTGGGAACGACATTGTTGGAAAATCAGCTAGACTCTTATTACTACTTCGCAACTTATTTTCAATTTCCACAAGGGCAAAAATTTTCAAATCATCTTCATCAAGCTGAAAATCTAAGATATACAAATTTTCTTTCTCAATTAGCCGCAATGGATGCAGAATAAGTGAAAGACAAAATAAAAATTATGTTAATAAATTAATATATAAAATAATTCAAAATATATGAATAAATA